TGTTCCAGACTCAAATGTATTTGCAAACTTAGATTTTATTTAGTTTTTTGCAAGAGATTGAACAAAGTCTGTGTACTTTAAGCCAAGTGGTTCAAGCTGTTTTAAAGAGCCCCTATCATGGATTTTTGAAAATGACTGTTCATATATGGTGTGCAATATAGCTCAAAGGGAATGAAAACATCCTGCAAAGATTTATATCTGAAAGTGCACCGTATATAAAGTTATTGTCTTTCAAAAGTGAGAGGGTGAGAGTAATATAATATTAGGGGTGAGAGCAACTTTAAACAATTATGTGTACGTACAACATTAAAAAGTTTTTGTGTTTCGATATGTGGAGTGAAGTTGTGGTTCAGTACTTAAACAATGCCCAAGTATGACTCAGTTTAAAAAGCATTGTAAAAATATGATATTTGAAAGGTATAGAGAGGATGAAGATTATTAGTTAGGTGATAGTTTATTTATATATTTTTCTTTTTTTTTTTCTCTCTTATTATTATTATTAGTTTTTATTTATTTTCTCTTATGTAATTTTTTTTTTTTTGAAGATGTATATACACATAGGTAGATATGTATGTTGTTTTTGTTTTTGGTGTTTAGAGACAAATAGATCAAAATATTCTGTCAACCGGTTAATTAGTTATAATTAGTTGAAGATAGGGTAGGATTGAAAAAGCTTATGCTTCTTCCTACTCCTTTTCGGACATGTATAAGTTAATAAAAAAAAAATTGTTGTTTTTTTTTCTCTTTGTTTTATGTATTGTTTGTTTGTTTTTGTTTTTGTTTTTTTGTTTTTTTTTTCTACATGTTCGAAATAAAAACTTTTCATTCATTCATTCAGAGTCGACTCTGAGTCTATGAAATGAATTGTTTCTGAAACGAGTCATTAGCTGGTTCGTCGTGACGTAGATACAGTACATACGGACCGCGCGCAGACGGAAGTGAAAACTTGAAGTCTACACACTCAAACACTTCATAATAGCATCATGTCGAGAAGACGCTGTGTTCTACAATGCAAAGATAGTTCAGCAACTTTGTTTTCATGTACCAGGGACGAGCATGTGAAGAATCGGTGGTTAGAGTTCATATTTGCAACGATACCACAACAGTATAGCCCGATTGTGTTCTCATCATTTTAATTAATCGTTCAAAAACATAAATGAATTCAAATGTGGATTCGCAAGCGGTTGTTCCTGAAGGAGGGCTCAGTAACTTACTTACCCAGTGTATATGGATCAGCTTCCTCCTTCGAATCACAACCTGTAAGTATTATTAATAATTGTTGTTTTTATGAGTTTTGAACGGTTTTGTTGCGTCGGGGCACGAGGCAGTATGTGTGTGCGCGTGTATCTGTGTGTGTAAGTTGCGCTCAGCGCAGCTTCTAGGTCTCCAATGTCAATTTTTTTTAAATATATGAAATGTTTGTCGCTGTTATTGGAGTTGTCATAAAGAATAGAGCGTCTTGTCGTACTGCAGTGCTTTATCAATTTGTTTATACGTATGTTTACCGCCGATTAGCATCACGCAAAGGAGTGGTTTGGAAAAATGAGTCGTTGTACGAATCATTTGGGAGTCGGTGAGCAAATCAGTTAAAAATAAATGCATATTATAAGACAAATAAAGTGTTTTTTATCCTTGCAAGCACGTTAGACTGTTTTTGGGAACTCCTAAAACAAAAATAGGAACGTTTCAAATGCTACGATAGGGGCTCTTTAATGTCAGAAAGCTGTGGAATTTCAATGACCGTCTTGCAAAACTTTAACTTTATTTTTCTGTCGAGCTGGTACTTTAACTCTCAAATCACTCCGATCTAATAAAAGGCTCCCCAGTAAAATGAAACAACAAATTAATTGCCTTTCCATCCAACCACAAAACGACACACTTCACAACTACGTCTACACAATAACACACCATATCAGTCAGCCATAGGCGATCTAGAAGGTGAAAGCAGCTGCGGGGAGAACTAAACACTCTGTTGCCCACTGCCAGTCACACTTAGACAAGAGCACACAGATAAGACGCACGATGAATGTGTTTGTCTTCCCTTCTCAACCAGCTGCAGGCAGCAAGAAAATGGCTATGTGCCTCACGCTCGCAAAGAGCCAGACCACGAGAGCATGAGATTCACAAATTTACCCTCTAGCCTTGTGAATGAGATTGCTGTTGATATCCCACTAGCAGAGGCAATGGGAGGGGTCAACTGGATGCGCTAAAATGTCATTCAATCCTTCAGCCTGACATTGATGAGTGTTAAGCTTGCTTTCCAGACCAGAGAGCCCCAACCTTCCCCCACAACCACACACACACACAGCTAATGAGAGGTGGAGATAGCTACAGATGTCTCCATTTGTGCCGTATACCTGCTGTGCCAAAAGCAATTACGCTAAGTCTGCATGACAATTGTGACCCATTCTCAAAGTGGCATAAGAGATGGCAAACTGGTTTTCATCTGATAAGCACTATGATGCATCAGTATTAAAGTCTTACAGTATTAAATTTTCCTTGGAAAAAAAAATCATGTCTTAAATTATCTTGAATGCATCTCAACACCCTTCCCTCATTTAGTCTACGCTGTTCTATGAATATGCAAATGAGCCCCGCCTCCACTCACTCCCTCTGCTCAGAGATCCGCTGGTTGACGATCACACGTTGATCTGATTGGTTACAAGGTAGTTTGTGACGTCAGAAACACCAGCGATTTCACATTTTTTAGTTCATTGCAGTTTTGAAGAGAAAATACTGAGCAATAAAAAGCGAGGCTGTGAGGGATAGACATGCATCTCTTCAATGGGCTGTACTGTTATTTAATGTGTTTTCGTTTTGTTCTGCTCATGAAACACTGGAAAAATATCTTTCCAAGAAATTTTAATTGACAAAAAACTCCCGACAATGTAAGCTGTGGAAAATTGTAAGTAATCTAGGAGCTTTATTCAGCTTTTTACAGCGGATGCCATTGGGAACACTGTAAGTCTATCCCTCACAGCCTCACTTTCATACCCGTCATGGCGCTGCTCTAAATAAGGTCTATGGTGTTAATTATGAATTTACACATGGAAAGGGTGAATTCAGGTTGATTGGGACACTTTTTTCCAAGTCATCTCAATGGCAAAACGTGTCCCGATCACCTTAAATTCACCCTAAGCAACATTAAAAGCTTGATTTTCACCACAGGGGGGATTTGAGCAGCAAAACACAAGAAAATGAAAATGTCTTTGAGAGAACCACCTTTTACTGACAAAGTTTATGTGCACAGATTTCCCTCCATCTGAATCTATTTAATCATATTGCAAATTTTACAGGTATCATTGAAATATGCCCTAAAGAAACAGATGAAAATTCATGTATTAAAAAGCATCATTTAATGTCTTCATAATCATAATGGCAAGAAGTGTTTTGTCCTATCAGCATGCTGTGAATCAGCAAAATGTTTTTATATCTGTTTGTGAAAGTAGTCGTATAGCCTATATAGCTAACAAACTTTCTGTAAACGAGAAGAGTAGCATTGTAATTAGAGCTAGTTAGATTCAAAGGTTTGCATGGCAATTATTTAAATCCACCACCAAATTATTAGAGCTATCAATAACAGCACAGCTACTGAAAGAAGAGTGGACAACTGTTGCATGTCAAATCTAAACTAAAAGAAAACCCTACAAGAGGAAAGGTTCATTCTGTTTTACAACATTTCACAAGGACTATCCATCAAACCAACGCATTTGCATTTCCCTATAAAGCATTTTGTGAAAAAAAGCCCCTTTTCAGAGCGGACTTCTATAGCGTAAGACTGTATTGAGAAAAAACATTTCTCATTTATGTTCCACTTCATCTAGCAATTTCTGAATGAAAGAATGTGTCCTGTATGAAAGGCAGCTTTTTTTAATCCATATTGAAATAAATAACCATTTGTGCCACAAGTGCAGAGCCTAACTCACTTTGACATTTTTTTTTCCAATAAAGCACCATCAAGAAATCCACGAAACTCTATAAAACATTGTGAATTTAAAAGTAGACTATCTTTGAGAGAGGACTTGTGGCTTGGCTTTGTCTGAAACCTCTGGGAAATGTGTTTCAAATAAACAAAAACTTATTTTCAGAGGGAAGCCATGATTAGTAACTTGAAACTGGCCACATGTAGGCTACACAGCATCAATTCAAGCCATATCTAACCTTTAAAACACAGAAAAGACAAGATTTAACATACGCCATTCAGCTTAAAAACTAAACAATTCTCCAAAAACTCTGCAACCATGATAAGATCAGATTCTTATTTAAAGGGAGGAAAATACTCCATCATAAGTAGACATTTAGCTTCCATAAAATGATGTAGATTTAGCACAAGTCAAAGAAGGAGTATTTCCTCCTGTCAAAATATTTGGCGTCATTTTACAGCAATTTCAGGTGGCAGCAGCTGAGGAATCTGATCTTCATTTGAGTCAGCCAGACAATTCCCTTTCATCATTCCCAACAGTAAAGGTTCCCAAATGTCTGACCCTGTCATTACCATCAACAGTCAATCAATAACCTCTAGGCTCTCAACCACAGCTCTTTTAGGCGAGGTCAAGAGCAACCTCTTGCATTGTTCTGGAGTGGATGGATGGATGGATGCCTTCTACAAGTGCTCTTCTAATGGCTCATGGATCATTGACTTAAACCTGGCAAAATCCTCTATTGCTAATTTGACATTAAGTTTACATTACATATTACATTCAAAGCAACCTGTGGTGATTTACTTAGTCACGGTCAGTAAATAGCAATTTCATGTATGACCCCTTGTAGAATTTAAACCTTCAAGCGTTTAACAACTCATATCTTTAACCATTTATACATAAATAAATGTTGTAGCTGCTACATGATAAACATCAAGGTAAAAATCAGAGTCAACGGAGATGGTAGATATGGTTAGAGAAGGAACAGACTGTCAAACGTTGAACGTTATCATTAGCGGGGATTTGTCGACGCCGCGAGGCGCAGGTAACGTTAATAACGGACGAGAGACACGGACTTACCTTTATCCGCACCGCCGAACCGGAGAACGATGAGACTTGTGAAAAACACGAGCAGCCGTGCCCCCCGCTCCGCCATCACTTTCTGAGGTAAAAAAATACACAAAATAATCTCGGAGAAACGCACAAGTTATCCACTGTGCTTTCTGAGGTAAAGTTTTACCGACTAGAACGGACAAGGTGCTTTAGCTATACAAAAACGCTGAGCATCGTCCGCAAACCGGCAAGATCTCACGCTCCGCCGCTGGCAAAAAATAAACATTTAATTCTCCTGCAAAAAATCAAAGGCGATACGCCGAATTGTTCGGGTGTTTTCTTGAAGTTAAAAACCCGAGGAGGGCTTTTAAAGGAGGCATGAAGTCAATCCACAGCCGACCCTCAAAGGCAGCGGCTGCAAAACGGTTCCGAAGCGTTTAAAAGACCGACCGGCGTATTTCTCAAACGTGCGTTCAACAGATTTAACGGAACCGCAGTGGAGTATCCAGCATAAGCACACGGCGTGCGGTGCTGGAGACTGGGGTTTGTAGTGGGTATTGGTCCGTGAAAAAGAAGGCGTGGATTCTCAAAGGATTCTGGATTTTTTTTGGCCCGGGAAAGTCAAAAATCACGGTGTGTGTAATGCGCATGCGCACATCTGGATCCCAGTGTGTTTAACATAGCACAAAACCACTAACATAGGATTCACACTACTTGTTTAAAATAAAAACAAGTAGCATTTTAGTAGCTTAAATAGCAAATATATCTTTCTTTGAGCCATGGTTACAATATATATTTATATATAATTGTAGAATTATAGTGTTTAGTTTATGAATAAAATAAGGAATCCCTGCTGGAAAAACAGCTAAAAATCAGCCTAAGTTGGTTAGCTGGTTTTAGCTGGTGGTCTCCCAGGTTTTGGACACTTTTTTAGCTGACCAATATGTCTTAGCTGTCCTAGCTGGCCATGTGTTTTGTTTTTTTCCAGCAGGGATGTGAATAACATTACATAAAAATTGAGGCATTACCATTTTTTAAATCATACTACAAGCACAACCTCTGAAAATCACTGTGTTTTCATAAAAAAAAAAATCAACTTGCTAAATACATTACTGCCAGAGGGATGCAGTTGATAATTCAGACAACTATTGTTGCCTTATTTGAATCCTTAACCCTGAAATATGCTTGTGTTCAAACTTCAAATTAAGATGCAGAACAAAACGAGAATGTGTCTTAAAGTATTTGCCACATACCTGATTTTACTTATAAATCAAAAACCACTATTCAAAACCAAAAACTGCAAGAACCAAATCAACCTCATGGCCAATTGATCAATTAAAAAAAAGAGAAGATTGTTATCTATGATTGGCTACTTCTAGTGCCATCCACTGGTTACCATGCAGAATAGCACCTGAGGGCAAGATATGACGGCAGCAAGAAAACAAAGTGTGCAGTAATGTCTCCAAATGTGAACCAACACACATTTCAGATTCAAGACATCCTCCTTCATATCTGAAAGATCACCACTTTCTATACTCATGTATGATGATTATAATGGTTAAAATGTGCCCTTGGTACACTGCAGAGACGTCACATCACTTGTGATAGGAGCTCAGGTGCCCTTGGGTCTTGAAATTCAGCTTTTAATCCAAGGACACAGTGCACTTGCTTGTCTTCCCTATGGGTAAACGGCTCATAAAGAATGTGTATCCTCTCTAAGAACAAAGGGATACCTGTGTATATGAGTCACACACACTGAATATGCTTGAAGTGCAAAAAACATGTCAGACGTAATGAAGATAAAGTTTCTTTGGAATTTCAAACGGAGCAACGAACTGACCAATGCTGAGCTGGCCGTGTGTCATTTATCAAACTTCTTTGAGTTTTTGAAGAGGAAAACAGAAGCTGTTCTTTCTCATCTTTTGCAGGGCCGTGTGTGGTGTGCATCTCCAACGAACCCTGACCATGGCAATTATTCGCTGCTCTCTAGAAGAACAAGTGCTCACCTCACTGGGAATGAAGCCAGAATACGGGAGGGTGTTCTTTTGTTATTAGAATTAATTGAGCAATTCAGAATAATGACCGTAAAAAGACTGAAAGTGACCCGAGGGGCTTGATAAACCTGTGGAAACACTTTAAAAAATTAGATTTGGGCAAAATTATGAATTTAACATTTGGCTTCCTTCAATGAATGTGAATTGTAATCGACTTAATTGAGGTTGTGAATTGGAATGACAGCAAGAGGAATTTATAACTAAAATACAAAATTAAAGTTAATAAATGACACGCACACACACATTTACAGAGAGAGTGAGCAAAAATAGTTAAGGTCAAGAAACTTGACATTGTATGTGCAGGTATATTTGTCATATTTTAAAACCCTTAAAATGACACTGAACAGCTTTCAATTCGCAGACTAGAAAGAAGAAACAGCTTGCCACTGCAGTGTATTAATGGCTCGAAAAAACTGACAGATGGAGAACTGACATTGAGAATGAGTTTATTTGCTGTCAGAGCTGAAAGCAGGATGAGATGTCATCGAACGACAGACTGTACAGGATGATGTTCACATTAAGTGAACCAATGAAAGATGAAGGCAATGGAAAACTGGAAGGAATACTATGTATTGCCGCACACTGGATAGTATTTCTTAATGTTATAAGCGTTGGGCAATGGTAAATGTTATTATTCTTGTATTTTGTATTTTTTTTGTGTGTGAAAATGTCTTAACTTTTCACAGGTGATTAAATAAAAGTTTGTAGTTTTGAAGCCGTGTACATTGCATTGTGGGATACAGAATTCCATGCATGTGCATTTGCATTAAAAGCGTGTCCGCGCTATTCTCCGACATGCCCGATCGCGGTGTTTTTGAAATGCGTGTCCGCGCTATTCTCATGCCCGATCGCGGTGTTTTTGAAATGCGTGTCCGCGCTATTCTCCGACATGCCCGATCGCGGTGTTTTTGAAATGCGTGTCCGCGCTATTCTCCGACATGCCCGATCGCGGTGTTTTTGAAATGCGTGTCCGCGCTATTCTCCGACATGCCCGATCGCGGTGTTTTTGAAATGCGTGTCCGCGCTATTCTCCGACATGCCCGATCGCGGTGTTTTTGAAATGCGTGTCCGCGCTATTCTCCGACATGCCCGATCGCGGTGTTTTTGAAATGCGTGTCCGCGCTATTCTCCGACATGCCCGATCGCGGTGTTTTTGAAATGCGTGTCCGCGCTATTCTCCGACATGCCCGATCGCGGTGTTTTTGAAATGCGTGTCCGCGCTATTCTCCGACATGCCCGATCGCGGTGTTTTTGAAATGCGTGTCCGCGCTATTCTCCGACATGCCCGATCGCGGTGTTTTTGAAATGCGTGTCCGCGCTATTCTCCGACATGCCCGATCGCGGTGTTTTTGAAATGCGTGTCCGCGCTATTCTCCGACATGCCCGATCGCGGTGTTTTTGAAATGCGTGTCCGCGCTATTCTCCGACATGCCCGATCGCGGTGTTTTTGAAATGCGTGTCCGCGCTATTCTCCGACATGCCCGATCGCGGTGTTTTTGAAATGCGTGTCCGCGCTATTCTCCGACATGCCCGATCGCGGTGTTTTTGAAATGCGTGTCCGCGCTATTCTCCGACATGCCCGATCGCGGTGTTTTTGAAATGCGTGTCCGCGCTATTCTCATGCCCGATCGCGGTGTTTTTGAATTTAAAATGCGTGTCCGCGCTATTCTCCGACATGCCCGATCGCGGTGTTTTTGAAATGCGTGTCCGCGCTACTCTCATGCCCGATCGCGGTGTTTTTGAATTTGAAATGCGTGTCCGCGCTATTCTCCGACATGCCCGATCGCGGTGTTTTTGAAATGCGTGTCTGTGCTATTCTCATGCCCGATCGCGGTGTTTTTGAATTTGAAATGCGTGTCCGCGCTACTCTCATGCCCGATCGCGGTGTTTTTGAATTTGAAATGCGTGTCCGCGCAATTCTCCGACATGCCCGATCGCGGTGTTTTTGAAATGCGTGTCCGCGCTATTCTCATGCCCGATCGCGGTGTTTTTGAAATGCGTGTCTGTGCTATTCTCCGACATGCCCGATCGCGGTGTGTTTTTAATGCGTGTCCTCGCTATTCATTGCACTGAATGAAACCGTAAAACTATGAGAATGCAATTTAAAAACCCTCATTCTTGGGTCTCCTGCTTTCTCTCTCTCTCACTCACTCTCCAGCTTTATTGACATGAATGTGTAAAACAGCACAATATTGCCAAAGCAATAGACATACATGTACAAACATATATTTGGGCGTTTCTCCCAGTACATATGTGATTTTCTGTGTGTCTGATATGGATTCGAATTCAATGTATGTTTGAGAAATGTTTACAAAGTGTTTTTGTCTTAGTATATTATATTTTGGGCATATATTTCTCTCTCTCTCTATTTTGAATTCTGAATCAAGTCAAGTCATGATAGCACTTTTTGTTCTAAAAGGGAGACTGTTTTCCACTATTTTGCTTATTGTTTTAGGCTAAAGCGGTTGTTTGGCTTGTTAATTGTTTTAATGAAGTGTTTTAGAAGTGGCGAATGTCAGCTGTTGAACTTTGTTGGGAAAGCAAAAATGGCTATATACATTAGTAGGAGAAATCATATAGAACAAAGGACTGATAGTGATGTGGTACGGGTCTTTAAAGTAATGGTGAAATCTGGAATTGTTGTCGATTTTCGATTTTATAAAGTAATGAATAATTTATTGAAGTTTGAATCTATAGTGTTACAGAGAAGCCTTTTGTTGTGTTTTGTTTTAAGTTTGTAAAAAATAACTAATTGTGTAAAAATGTTTTAATGGTTAATAATTTCTATTGTAATAAAAGTAATTTTGAAAAATCAAATCTCTCTCTCTCTCTCACGTCTGACAGGAATAAATCCCTCTCTGGCCAAACTCCCAGGATTATCAGGGATTACTTTACGGTAAGAAAACATCACCAGATTTAATATGATCAGGGAAAGACAGGAAAAACCTATTACTTGGAGACAGATCATGCGGTTTGAGTCAAGATCTCTCACACATAACGTGTCCAGTTCAAAGCACCGATCCAAACGTTCATTGTTTATGTGTGTTTTCTCACTAAGCATTTCTACATTCACTTAGCTTCAATCAGTCATTAAAAGTGTAATGAGAGGTACAGGAAGGGGGCGTCTGTCTTTTCTCTATTAAGTTAGTAACTAAATTAAATAATGTGAAGGAGCTGATTAAATTTGCAATGTCTGCTGTCTCCTGTTGTTAATTATACAGAGTGTGAATTTGGCACGGTGCAGTCAGCGCTGATCGCTCGTCACCCAAACACTGTCCCTTCAGAGGAACAGAGACTGGGACTGTCAATCAGTCTGACCCAGAGACGATCACCTCACTGCATGTAGGACAATCATCACCCAAACTGATTAGATTGTTTCCCGAATGTTCTCATTCTAGAAAGGTTTCATGTGTAGCAACAAATCTATGTTGTTCAGCGCAGACATTTATTCAAAGCATTCGTGCTCTCTTTACGCTCAGCATTTTTTT